CCCCTCCTCCTTGTTTCCTAACAAATGTATGTCGTCCTTACCTCCCCTCTTTTTTGTGCCCGTTACTCTCTTGTAACACCTCTAGTCCTCGGCACTTATATGACCTTTTTGGTGTTGCAAGTGCTGTAAAAATGTTAGGAAAACTAAAACTGACACCTCAGGGTAGGTGGTTGGCAGGTGCTCTGGGGTTGTTTTTTTTTGTGTGTGTTGGGGTTTTTTTGGGGGGGAGGGGGGGGGTCTCCTTCGTTCCTTTATATCTATCAGAGAGGGTTTACAGTAATAATATCTATCGTCCTTATCTCCTCTCTTTTTTTTGTGTTTGTTACTCTCTTGTGGCATCTGTAACCTGTCAGTTATGTGATCTAATTGTGTTGCAAATGCAGTAGAATGCTTACTAACCCTATAAAATCACGGATAGAACTACAGCTTTCTTTCTTTCTCTCCATCTGCACAGGTGTATACTTGTGTGTGTGTGTGTGTGTTTGTGCGTGTGTGTTTGTGTATATGTATATGCATATGTGTATGCGTATGTATGTGTGTTAAAAGCTAGTCATGGATAATACTCCTGTAATTTCCGTTCTCTCCTTCTATCAACACAGAGGTATATTTGTGTGTATGTAGGCCTATGTGTTTGTGTGTTTCTGTATGTGTATGCATCATGTATATGTTTTTACAACCAGTCATGGATAAAAATACTACAACTTTCTTTCTCTCTTTCCCTCAACACAGAGGCATATTTTTGTGTGTATATTTGTTTGAGTTTCTGTATGGTATATGTGTATGCATATGTATATGTTTTTACAACCAGTTATGGGTACAGCTACTTTAACTTTCTTTCTCTCTCTCTCTCTTCGTCATCTCAGGCGTGTACTTGTGTGTGTATGTGTTTGTGTGTTTCTCTCTCTCTCTCTCTCTCTATATATATACATATGTGTGGGCGGTTGCAGGTGCTCTGGTGTGGTTTTTACCTTCTTTCCTATCAAATAAATATATTTCGCCTTTATCTTCCCTCCTTCTTTTTGTGTTTGTTACGACTCTCTTGTAACACCTCTAATCTTCGGCATTTATATGACCATATTGTGTTGGAAGTGCCATAAAACTTACTTTAAAAAACTAAAACTGACTTTCTTTCTCTCTCTCTTTTAGGCCACACAGGCATGTACTTGTGTGTGTGTGTGTTTGTGTATTTCTGTATATATGCGTATGTGTGTGCATATGTATATGGTTTAATATACAAGTTTTATCATAAATTTTAAATATTTAAATAGAAATATTGACTAAAATCAAGCCGTGCTGTGAACTGTTGTGAATGCAACCAACTTGTGTTTTGCACGCTCATACTAATCTTCTGGCGCTCATATGACCTTATGCAGTTGCGAGTGCCGCAAAACCCTCTACTAAAACTAAACTAAGCCCCGTAAAACTCTTATGTGGGTGGTTAGCAGGTGCTCTGGTTTGGTACGCTCCTTCTTTCCTGTCAAACAGCTATCGTCCTTATCTCTCCTCTCTTTTTTATGTATGTTATTGTCTTGTAACACATCTATTCTTCGGCTCTTATATGACCTTATTGTATTGCAAGTGCCGTAAAACTCTTACTACAACCAACTCTCTCTCTCTCACTCTCTCTC